CACTCAGGTAGGGAAACGGGGTGGTCATTAGCATTGTTCATAAACAGGTCTCATCCTCTGTTTAGGCCCGGGTTCAGCGGGAAGTCCTGTGCTTCTCCGACCCTTGTAGTTAAGAGCGACCACAGCACTTGCTCTAGCCAGCGAAATGGGATAGTGACTTGGGACAACTCCAGGTGGGAGCTTTAATGCCAGAACATGATCTGCCATGCCATGCTCCCTTTCTCTCTGCACTGGCACCTGTCACGTTCAACAGGGTAGCTGCTCCACAGCCTGCATCTTGGAAAGAAGATAACAATGACATGAAACAGGGTCCCCGAGATGACCCGTGACAAACAGGCAGCATGAGCAAGAGACGGACTTGTGCTGTGTTAAGCCCTGGGGTGTAGGGTGGTTCATTCCTGCAGTGTGGCCCAGCCTCACCTGACTGCCAACCTCCACCATGAGGATTTCTCCCCAAGTCCTTCTGGCATTCTTGCCCCCAGAGAGCACTTGATGCCAGCAAGCTGCAGATTCTAAACGCACGCCTTCCTAAAAGCGGGCAGCACAATTACCTCGACATGCAAAAGGCTTGTGATTATTCTGGACACAAGTTGGGGAGCTGTGAACATGGGCAGGGACTGCAGGAGCCTATCCTAGGCGCCCTGACCCCTTCCCCCAGGTGCAACCCTGGCTGCAAAACCAGTGCTCTTCCACAAAGGCTATTAGCACTGTGCCAAGCGTACTTGCCACGAAGGGCCGTTTGAGGCAACACTAGCCCCATGTGCAAATGGGCAGGCTGAGGCCCAGAAACGTTAAACAACTTGCTCAAGGTCACGTTAAACAACCTGCTCAAGGATTTAGAGGTGAAGCTCAGCCAGTCTGATTTTAAGGCCCTCCGCTGACACCATGTCCTGGTGCCTGAGCCAGCAGCAGCTCCATCCAAACCCGGGATCATCAGTCACGTGCATCTAGTGACCAACCACAGCAAGCCGAATGCCGAGTGCCCTGCTCAGAGGCCTGGGGTCAGGCTGGAGTGTGGCTCCACTCTGTCATTCTGATCTGTCAACTCCATTCTGGTATCTTTCCTCCCAGATAATTTACTCTGCAAACACATCTTGGGTGGCCGCTGGGTTTGGAGAGTAAAAGATTAAATTGATGCTGTACCCAGAATGCATTGCAGGGATGTATCTTTCTCAAGGTCCCCTAATGAGACCGCAAATCACAGGGGTCATGCCTGAATGGCTGGCTCATCTAAGGACTGAAGGGTCACACGGCAACTCTGTGTTCAAGGTCCATTATTTCCTGGTGACATCTACGACACAGGAAGCCAATTCAGAGCTGAGCTACACGGCCAGACCAGCAGCTTTCAGTCAAGAGAGACAGTGCCGGGTTCAACCAGCAGTCCCAGCTCAGGTGCAGCTCACCTGGCCCATAGCCCACATTAAGGACAGGGAAGGCACAGAGAGGTCAGATGTGGTTTTCTCTGCACAGGAGAAAGGAAGGTTGGGCCGGCCTGGAGTCGAACTGGCTGTTCCTGAGCCAATTCACAGAGGTCTCGCTCTCCGGCTCAGCAACGTCCACTCCCGGCCCCCTCTCCGTAGCAACGTCCCTGCTTGGCTTCTCCAGCCAGCTGAGTCTGCAAGAATCAAGGGCAGCAGGCAGGAGGGACACGGGCACGGCGTGTCCATGGCTTGCTCACTCCTCGTTCCTACTCATCGAGCTTTACCACGAGAAAGGGGCTGCTCTGGGGACTCACAAAGAACAAACCATGTGAGTCGGTGCACGGTGTCGGGTCGGGGTGAGCTCGCATGTGTCCTCCTCAGAGCCCCTGCCCGGCCCCTGGCGCAGCCTCCTCCTGTCTGCCTCCCTCGCAGCACATGCCCCTCGGATCCATCCTGTCAGCGCCCCCAGTCTCCCCGTCAGCTCCAGGAGGCGGCCTCCTCGCCTGCGCTGATTCTCTGCGTTT